AGCATCATAGGGGTTGTAGTTCCACAACATCTGTGAACTCATGCTCTATACCAAGTCCTAGAACATACACAGAGATACACATTCTCAGACACACACACACATTCCCAGACAGATATGCACATGTACACACACAGATTAACAAAATTGGACATTATATAATAATCTTAGACTGTTCGCCACCGTTGCACTTAGTAAATACCCAAATTACAATTATGGGGGATATTGAAAAGCTTATTCAGAGCGCACGGGGATAGAATAGATGGGTTCTTTGTAAATGATGTGATACAGCAGGATGTCTGCTCAAGACCAAGTGGAGCACCTATCAAAGAGTGTTTAAGGTATGTAGTAAGTAAGTGAGGGGAGGTGAGACAGCTTGCCCTCATACTCTCCCTATTTGGAGTCCAAATCCCTCTGTCCTACTTTTCTATCGTTATGTCCCTCTTGTGTAGGAGCTGCATATTGTTGGTGTTTTTGAGTTTATTACAGACCTCAAAAGAAACAAAATTCTCCATTTTAGTTGCATAAATTATTTCTAGAAGGTCACCTAAAATTTCACAGAACAGCCACAACCCCACGGGCATGATACAGTCATGGGGAAAAAAGTGTTTTACAGGGTTACTCCAATCCTTATTTTTAGTCTTGTTGCTTTAATGTATAATTCCATATTGGGCATTATACTTTAGGTCCCTCCTTGCTTAAGTGAAAAATAAGCTTAAAATGAACTTTTACTTACCTGGAATCCTGCGCTGAGCAAAGCTCCCACCATCACTTTCTATGCCTCTTTGTGAGATGTGTGCAGCCACACAAGGTCAAATCACAGGTTTATTATAGAATCGATTGGCCGATTCACCAGCTCAGAGCGGGAGGAAGGGATTGGAAGGAAAAGGGAGGGAGGGTTTTTTTAAAAAGAAAATTGTTTTGGCAATAGAGAAAAGCGGGGAAAGCGGGCAGTGGGTGGGAGAAGGGGAAATATTTTAACAGCTATTGCTAGCATGCATTGGGCGCTGATAACAGACGTTAAATATGCACAGAATTTACATTATGCAGCCCGGAACAGAGTTCTAGGCTGCCAATATCATGTGTGCTAAGGGTACAGCTTGCTAAGGGCCCCCAGCACATAACTGCCAATAGCACAGTATGTTCATAGTTGCATAGCTGAAAAGAAACATGTGTCCATCAAGTTCAGCCTTCTCAAATATGTTTTTGCTATTGACCAGTTTGATGTGCTTCCAATTTTGCAACAGACTAGGAAAAAATATCCTTCTTGACCCCAGAATGGCAGTCAGATATCTCCTTGGATCAAGAAGACGTTACCCCACTAATTAAAAATTATTTTCCTGAGCATTATGTCTTTGCAAGTATTTATCCAATTGCTGTTTAAACATCTGTATAGACTCTGATACAGCCAGCTCTTCGGGCAGCGAATTCCACATCCTTATTGTAAAAAAAAAAATCTTCTTTCTTCCAGTCTAAATGTATGATATTGTGAAACACTGCACATATTGACTCCTACCACCATGATGACTTAAAATCACTGACGTTGCCATAGAGGTTGAAGTAACACTTTAACTAGTGTTCTAGCCTATTAGTCTTATCAAAATGATAAGTGCAGGTGATGCTACAACTATACAACTTTTGACACTGTTGATCATCAACAGCTTCTTCTTATCCTCCGCAATATCGGTCTACAAAATATTGCTCTCTCCTGGTGCTCCTCCTACCTCTCCCAGCGCTCTTTCAGTGTTTCTTACTCTGGCTCTGCTTCTTCTCCCCAACTCCTCTCTGTTGGTGTCCCCCAAGGTTCAGTCCTTGGTCCCCTACTGTTCTCCATCTATACTGCCTCCCTTGGTAAACTCATTAGCTCCTTTGGCTTCCAATATCATTTCTATGCGGATGACACACAAATCTGCCTGTCCTCTCCTGATCTCTCCCTGTCCCTCTTGACGGCAGTCTCTGACTGCCTCTCTGCTATTTCTAACTGGATGGCTGCCCACTTCCTTAAACTAAACTTGACCAAAACTGAAATTCTGGTCTTTCCTCCTTCAAGTGTTGTTACTCCTGTGTCTGTCTCCCTTCAAGTCAACGGTGCTGCCATCAGCTCCACCACACAGGCTCACTGCCTAGGTGTTCTATTTGACTCCAACCTCTCCATTAAGCCTCATGTTCAGTCTATCGCCAAATCCTGCCATTTCCATCTCAAAAACATTGCGTGCATCCGCCCCTACTTAATTCCTGTTGCGACTAAGGTGCTGGTCCATTCCACTGTCCTTTCGCGCCTTAACCACTGTAATCCGCTTCTCGGTGGTCTTACGTGCTCCCAACTTGCGCCATTACAGTCCATAATGAATCCGGGACGAGGCTCATCTTCCTGTCCGCCTACACCTCCCACGCCTCACCCTTCTGTCAGTCCCTACATTGGCTTCCTATAAAATATAGAGCTCAATTTAACATTCTGGTTCTTGCTTTCAAATCTCTACATAATGCTGCTCCCACCTATCTATCCTTATACACAAATATGTCCCGTCTAGGCCCTTATGATCTGCTGAAGACTTACGTCTATCTTCTGTCCGTACTCCCACCTCTGATGCTCGCCTTCAAGATTTCTCGAGAGCTGCACCATTCCTGTGGAACTCGTTTCCCTCCTCCGTTAGATGCTCACCCAGTCTCCACTCCTTCAAAAAAACATTAGAAACCCATTTCTTCATAAAAGCGTATCAATTGAACTGTTAATAGCTCCCGACTGATTCCTCTTCTGCAACTGTCACTAGTCTAATACTATCCTTACCTTTTTGTGTCATTTTACTCCACTCCCTCTAGCATGTAAGCTCATTGAGCAGGGCCCTCAACCGCTCTGTTCCTGTGTGTCCAACTTGTCTGGTTACAACTACATGTCTGTTCATCCACCCATTGTAAAGCGCTGCGGAATTTGATGGCGCTATATAAATAACAACATAATAATAATATCCTCCTCAGCTTAGTTATAGGCCCGATAAGGGTTCCAAAAGTTATTTTCATGAGCAGTCAAAAAGATCTGCAAAGCACTTTATGGGTATGATTTTCACAGTCAAGAGGTTTGAATGTTTGCAGCTGTAACTTATCACTTACACCACGTTTTATTCCATGATTGTGCAAATACTGCATTAATGGTGAATTAAACACTGTATGTTGAAAGTGATGTGTTACACCCATAATTTAGCCTGTTTTTTATGCTAGTAAATACCACAGATCTTTTCAAATCTAAATAAAATATTTTCATACGCAACAGTTTTTCTGGCAATAAATAAATTGGCAGGTAAGTATATTCATATTCTTATCTAAATTGTGTTGAATTGCTATTTTTCAATTGACCCTTAGATGGCAGTAGGCTCCTAGAATTAAAGTCCTAACACTACTAACTATTGTTCTATATTCAAGCAGGGACCACTATTAATAGTCAACTGCCATTAAGTGGGTGAAAAATAAATATTTTGTTAAAATATTTGGGAAGTGTCTCAAAAATTATGGTAAACTGTGCACAGGACTTAAAAGAATGCATATTTTTTTATTTTATTAGGACAAAATTATAGACTGATCATTTATTTGTTAGTGGGCAAACATTCAAAATCAGCAGGGGATCAAATACTTTTTTCTCCTCACTGTAAGTTCAGAGGTCCTTTTTAACCCTGCAATGTTTTAACTCTGTTTTATTCTTTTTTTTAAGGAACCTAATTTCACGGAGAGAATGTAAGAATTTTAACATTTTCATTTGTGCATGTTGGAAATGTTAAGCATATTTTACATTTTGTCTTATATATTTACCTGGTATATTTCTTAACTTATTTTACTTATTTTTTTATTTTTATTTATTTTAACTTTTTTTTTTTTTTTTACTTATTAGAAGTGAGTGAAATCTAAACAGTTTATTTGTAATAGTATTGCTGACCAGGTGATGGGCTAGAGAAGGTGGAATCGTTAGAATGTGTTCAGGGCCATGGGATTAATTGGCTTCTTAACCGCTCAAAATAATCTCTGCTACTCACTGTCCCCTAAATCCCTGACTCTGATCCCAAACCCATTACGCAATTCCTTAGCCACTTGTCCTCCTTTCATACCCATTCTTTTCTGTGAGCTAGGAATGTACGCTGTTTTCTTTGCGTTTCTAAGATGGCAGCGGACAGAAATCCCATATTTTTAACTTCATTTGGGCACGTGCTTCTAATCACGAGCATGCCCAGTACACCAGTGGCTTCCACAGACCTCAATTTAAGCTTGTGATAGGAATGAGGATCCGTGACGAGCCATTGCTGGAAGTGATGCAACACTACAGGGAGGTGAGTATTGACCAAGAAGGACAATGACAAAGTTGACGAAGGACGTGGAGCTTTGTGAAACTGCAGTTTATACATAAAGAAAACTAGAAACAAAGGTATTTTGAACATGTCATTGAGGGAAAAAATGACATATCCACTTTAGGTAAATCTGATCCTAACCACTTGAAATTGTGAAACATTTGGAACTCACATATGCAACTTCAGGGTTGTGGAATGTAGCAGATACATTCTTTACACGTATCCTTTAAAAAAATGTTCTGTTAGCTAATATAACACAACATGTGAAAATACACTAAACACTTGGAACATTTGGAACCCTTGTCTAGCCATCCCAGGTTATCTCTTTGCTATCCACAAAAGTGTAGCTCAAGTATATCTGGCAAAGTGCTCTGGGAAGCCTGGTGGTGGGGATGGGGGAGGAGAGGGGAGGGAGGGTGTGAGTGACACATACCAATTTTGACAGTACCTGATGCACAAAGTTACTACAATACCTATTTGTGTTTTCTGCCCACTCCTGCCTAGTTTCATACCCACCAATTTTTGGATGTGGAATATGTATTAAATTTTGCTATGCTTATTGGTGACACTTCTTAATGACAACCACCCTCCAAAAGAACGTCTTGTGTTGCTTTATCCCACTATCTCACAAATCCTACGTGCAACAATTATTCACACTACAAGTGTATTGGTGTAAAATAGATATTTATTTTTTAAAGAACAGAGATTATCTTTTGGTAATGTTATGTTGTGTGACCACAGTCTGCAACATTTCCTATTTCCAAATATCATAAACTGTAAATATGCCAACACATCTAACGATTGTCTCAGTTTTACATGACCTACTTCAATATGATAATAAAACAATGTTTAATTAAGCATCAAGAACAGCTAACACAAATTACACAGGCTGTAAAGCAGCAATCACCAGTCTTGGCACTACAAAATCGATGCTCTACATGTCTGATGTTGCTCAAGCGGCCCTTGGGCTTTGCAAATATTGGTGGAAATATTTTCTGTGACAGCACACTTCACTGGCTTTAAGCTGAGCCTCATGGGAAACGTAGTTTAACAACATCTGCAGTGTCAAGGTTCAGTTATCACTGTTGTAAAGCTCAACAATGGGAAAACATTTCTCATGAATACTGTCTTGATTTCGGTGGTCTCCTGGAAGCCTCAATCAATAATGAAATGACAGTTTTATTAAACATACTGATTCCGGTAAAGCAGGCAAACATATCCATGACGGCTCTCTGTCACCAGATGGTAGACAGACATTTATTTTTATTGATAGCAAACAGGGTGTGCAAACATTACCTCGTTCCTTGATAAAGCATGATATTCAAATCAATAATCCGGAGGCAGTGCTAGAAACATTTTCAGCTGAGCAAATTAAAAGAGTGCTACTCATGGGTCTTGTTAAAGAAAGTTTAAAAAAATTGATATTTAATGATTCACCCTACGCAAAAATCTCATGCTCATGGCGAATTTGTCTGTGCAGTTGGATACGCTGATTACTAAAATGTTTTTATTTTGTTTTGAAATGCCAAAAACAGCAGCCATGTCAATACGCTCTGAGTATAAATTCTCTCTAGTTAAGACATTTTGAGGCTTTCCACAATAATACTTTTTGTTTTGTTTTACAGAGTGCAAAATACAAAGGGTTTAATTTCTAAAGGTGGAATCGTAATACATTGAAAGGTATACTGTAAAATCTAGGTAAGGTAGCCTAAATTGCATCGACCAATTGACTACAGGGAAGTTTTTGCCTAAAAAATTGCAAAATTCAAATTTCAGTTCACTACAATTTGGTGTCAAGTGAGTTAACTCCAACCACTCTGGAAAATGTTGGCTAAAAGCAATAAATTGCTTATTTTAGCGGGTTACAGGAAATAGGGCATGTTCAGGTTTCCTATACAGTGAAATAAGATGTTTAAAAATATTTTGTATTTTTCTATCTGATCAATTACTTCACAAAATATGCAGAAGACGTTTAATTTATCTCCTGTAGCAATATTTAATTCTACCCCTATCTTAATGTGTAATGGACTCTCTCCTGCTAATGTACACCTGGCATACAATATCATTTAAAATCCAAAGTAGTGACCTTTAGAATCCACACAGTTGAACACACAGGAAGCAGTGAATGCAGAGCCATTCGGGAATACAGTACTGTACGATGACTATGTATTGCTACTGCAGGTATACAGGTGCCAAACTCATAGGCAAAATATATTTGTTAAAGAAAAAAGACAAAGTCAATATACAAAGTGACATCCAGTCAGCATAATATTTTATATATTGTGTATTAATATTGGTTTTGTATTTTATTGTACCCTACTGTATCAATGTAATGTTTTGTGGACCCAGGACATACTTGAAAACGAGAGAAATCTCAATGTATCTTTCCTGGTAAATTATTTGATAAATAAGTAAATATAAAGTAACTTTTCAAGTGCAGTCACTGCTATAAAGCATCTTCTGTTTAGTTAGAAGATAGCTGTAGACTATACGTGTCATAATGCTCATACTACCAGCATCAGGAGAGATATAATTCACAACTTCTGGAGTGCCAAAGGTTGCCTACTCCTGTTCTGGCACATAGAAAGAGAAACACGTGAATATTGAAATCTCTGCTGGGGGTCCTGGAGCACACAAATGTTCTGTAGAATGTTATCTAGCGTTTAGACTCCAACATAAAGCTAACTTGCTAGCCCTAGAGGGATACCCAAACAACACATGTGTAGGAAGTTCATACACTTTTGCCTTGCTTGCAAGCATACTTTACTTCCTTCATAACTCCAGATACTAATTATGTGGAATTTATCCCAAACAGACCGTTCAACTAACCTCCCAGCTTACAACTGTAATACCTATTTTTAACCTCCACTCAAAAATTTAGTTCCATCCTCAAATCACGTCTTCCATATCTGTCTCCTTCTCTCTGTTGGTTGTTTGGAAGCATGTTGACCTATCCATGACACTACATGCTTATACCATAACATCTCCCTAGCCCGTCATGGTGTTCTCTAACTGCTCCATAGCACAAGAGGTTTCTAATGTTTCTTAATCCTAATTTCATAATGTCCACAAACAAAATGATCAATAAGTCACCAAAACATATGTATTAATAGTATCGTCACTAAGACCTACCCTGAAAAGTCACTACTTTGAAGTCATCTTTGATTGTGCCTTCTTCTAAAATCCAATTAATCTTGGAAGCCTTCCACTTCCAGCTTAAACACAGAGCTCACATTCTTCCATCCATTTCTAACAAGAGATGGAACAATAGCACCTGTTTATATACCCTTCACCTCCTGTCTTGGTTATTGCGACCCACCTTTCATTGGTCTAACACATGTCCAGCTTACCCCATCCCAGTTTATGATGAGTGATGCAGCCAGACTTATCATCCTTACCCACAATTTTCACATTTTCACGGTATCATCTAATATTTATTTTAAAATCACTGACCTACAAACCCTACTCATGTGCCTAACTTGTTTTCCCAAATACATGTTTGTATAATGTATCTATTGTATGATATAGCAGATAATATTGCTGCCATTAGTAACGTTCCTATGCCTTAAAAAAAAAAAAAAGCGTGCTCTCATTACAAGTTGACCACATAAAATGTTTTTGTCAACATATGCATTTTGCTATTATTTAATAGTTTAAACTCTAACCTGAATATTTATACTGAATCTGAAGCTATTAATATGTATACTGAAACTGGAGATTAGTTTTCATCACTAATAACGTTTCTCTCTGTGTTAAGGAAACCTCATAAATCGTGTAAAGTCTTGTAAAGAAAATGCTGTTTAGCCATTGAAACGTGTATAGCCATTCCTTTGTATTGCATATCATTTTATACTGGATATTCATTGATTATTGTCACGCATGTTACATATTATTATTATTAATTAATTTGTTATTATAAATAAAATATATTTTTATAACATTGTGATATTATTATATGAAATACTTCTCACTTAACACGATGACGATATTTGGGATCTGAGAATTGAATTAGTGGGCAATTCTCACTGTTACTATTATTATCCCATAAATATCCCCACATGTTAAACTATACAACAACTGTGTGACTTGACCAGCTTGCAAAGTTAGACTTTAGACAACCCATTCAACACAGAGCAGGCTTGCAGTCAGACTAAAGGAGGCCAAGTAAAGACAAAGAACGCACAAAGGCAGAAAAGAAAGGGGAGCGAGTCAGGACAACAAAAAAAATAAAAGAAGTTTGTTGTCAATCAAAACATGCATACAGTGATTATAAACATAAAACTCTAACAGATGACTGTAATTTATTTCCAAAAAGGGCAGATTGGGAGAGCGCTAGATGTACTTCAATTGTATGATGGACCAGATGTAATATTTTTTTAAAACTTATATCTATCACCAAGCAATCACAATGAGTATCTACAAGATTCTCAGACATATGTGAGCAACGTTGATGCTTGAAGTGTCACTTTAAATGTAAGCACAGCCTAAATGACTGTGTAATAGGTTTAGGAGCAATACAGCTGTCAGATTTAAATCAGTTATAACATTTGCATGTTTTCCTTACAGATGCCTTAGTCTGTCGCTCTCTGACTCAGCTAAACAAAGCTAAATCATGTCTTATGGCTTTAGTTTCACAGATGCTTTAAACAGGTAGCAGTGAGTCAGGGATTAGGTGCTTGACTCAGAGAGTTTAGGGATTATTTACAGAGCAAATGTGGCTTTCGGGTCTAGAAGTCACCATGGAAACCAATCAGTTGTACCTGATTATTGCTCCGCTGTTAGAAAACTGCCTCACAATGGCTCTTTAAAAATAGCCCCCAATGTTTAATCAAGTAGATGTAGATGAATGAATATTTTTTGCAGCAAGGAAGTCATATAAAACTGGCTTTTTTAAGCTGGAGATAAAAAAATAAAGATATGTAAACAATTGCGATGAGAATATGAGTAAAAAGTGTAAATTTGTAGGAAATCTGACATCTACATTGCTATTACAACACCTTACTGT